CATTGACAGCCGCCGAGGAGACGGTTTCCTCGGAGTGGATGGGAAGCGTTGCCCAAGTCGTCCACCCGGCCAAATGACTAATGACTGGCCTCCTCTCTCCCCCCCTCCACCTGGCTCTCCAGCGACCGCGGCGGCCCCCTTGATGAGTGCAGGGCGGTGTGAGATACAGGGCTGGGCGTGACGCCCTAGGTTTTACCTGGAGCCGCGGCTCTTAACCGCCCTGGACGGCCTCGCCCGGCCTCGCCCCGCATTGTCGCTCACGATTACCACGCACACACACGGAGCACTTTGTTCTCGACCAGAGAGATGTCCCTGGGCTGATATACGCCAAGAGTACAGGGGGCGGGGGCTAGAGAAATAATGAAAACCAGACACCGCGGCGGCACATGGAGGTGCAAGCGGTGGGTTTGGAAATATAGCAGTGTGGCACAAAAGAAAGAAGAGGACAAAAAGCGAGACGGAGAGAGGAGAGAGGTGGCGGTCCCTTACGGTGTGATGCAACGTCATCGGAGGTCGCCGTGTCGTCCGCCACATTAGTGGGACCAAACCGGCGGCGACGGCCGTCGGAGGACAAATTGAGCCCAAAGTGCGTCGGTGACGGCCATTGGCAGGCTAATTGGTGACTCGTCGGTCGCCATGGCGACGTGACGCGTGGCGACGCGGACGGACGACGTCGCGGCGGTGATCCCCCGGCGTTGACGCCGTTTTGATTAGGACGTCAATCTGTGTCGGCGTTGCCTGCACTGGCTGGACGGATGATTGATTTCGGTCTGGCTGTCAGGGGGCTTCTCGAGAACGCCTTGTGGCGGGGCGGGGCGGGGCGAGTGGACTCAATTACTTGGATCACACATGTCCGTCCATACCGACCAGACAGGACAGGGTCCCCCGGGCGCCCCGCACGGGAGGCGCTGCTGCAGGCCCATGAGAACTAAAGCAGTACCTTGGAAAAATATTGAACCGTTTAATTTTTGTTTGTTTTCCTGGACCCCAGCAGCATTGGTGCCGCTGATTGTCGTGAGGAACCTGTTGGCGGCGTGTCGGGTTCGGGCGGCCCGTGAGGGATCGAGGATGGAGGGCTCGTTGCATAGGCCGATTGGTATGCGCCATCGCTCCGCCCGGATTCTCTGTGCCGCGTCCATACGGGTCCGGCGACACGGCTGTAAATTCCCGGCTTCGATAATTTCATCATTTTTCCGGTCGGCAGACACTCCCCGGTTAAAAGAATGCTTCGGCGCAGTTTTCGGACGGCTCTGCGTGCTGCTCGGGCCAATACCGGTCCCGGCCCTGCCCGGCCTAGCCCGGGCCCTGCCGCCCGTTAGGCGAAGCCGCTTCCTCGGCCGGCCTGGGCAGGGCCGCGCCGAGTCCTCCTAGACTAACGAGGACCAAAGAGAACAACAGCTTCGCGTGTTTGTTAGCGTCCCCGTGTCCTCGCTGAAGAATAACTATTCCGGTGGCTGCCGACACGGCGGACCATCGCGTCGAATACAAACCAGGTCAATTTAAGGAAAAAAGAGAAACAAACATTTCAAGGGACGACAGGCCATTTACGTAATGTCCTCCACATCCCTTACGTTCAATGCGAAAATAATAGTTGGTGCATGTGTGTGCGTTCTGTGTGTGTGTGTGTGTGTGTGTGTGTGTGTGTGTGTGTGTGTGTGTGTGTGTGTGGATGTGGGTTCCGGGCGGGGAGCGCGCCCATGGCGCAGCCTATGGCAGCCCGTGGCGGCCGAGGCGTTCGATTTGCCGCCCGGAGAAAAATATTGCGGACGCCTGTGGGTTTGTTACGGGCAGCCCATCAATTTTATGACGCCCCTCTGGCCCGACTGCCCGCCTCACGTTCAAGGTCGGCGTCGTATGCTCAGTGCCCGTGCGCCTCTCAATATCTCACTCGTGTGTGTGTGTGTGTGTCTTGTACAGTGCCGGGTCGATGCAAAAAATAATTCTTGGCTCACTTTTAGCAACCTTTTGTTGTTCAGGGCGACAAATAGGCTGCAGATCAATATAATGTCCAGCGGATATTTCGTGGCTGACAGGCGGCTGTTTGTCGACACGACAGCGAGCCCCCCTCTCCTTCCGGAAACGCAATTTATTTATCTTGGCCAATTATTTCGCAGGCGTTCGTCCCAGAAGAATGAACGAAAAAAAAGGTGAAAGATAAAATGTCTCACTTTTGTGGGACATATCTGCGACGGGAGGCTCGCGGATTTTTTTCTTTTCGAAGTGTTTTTACCGTCTTTGGAGACAGCGCTGCACGGTGCGCGTCCCAGAAAAGGTAAAGAGTGGTGCTACGTGCTCCTGGGGTGAGAGGGGAAGGGGGGGGGGGGGTCTAGCGTGACCAGCAGCATCCGTGCCGGACCGTCGCCCCCTGGATAACAAGTGGATTGTCACGGGATGCGCGGGGTTGGCTGGCCAAAAAGAGAGAGGAGCTGGCGGGGTTGTGCCAAAGAGGAAGAGAGAGAGAAGGTAGGTTGACGGCCCCCGGCAAAAATGACGTGGAGCAGCAGGGGACGTCGGACGGCCGTGCAGGTATTCTCCTGTTTGTCGCCCAGAAGAAAGAAAGTCGCCTTCTGGGCCACGCGCACGTGTGTGCGGTGCAACAATTTATCCGCTTATTTTCTCATATTTTTGTTTTGTTTGTTCCTTTTTCTCTCGGAGGAAAAGAAAGGGGCCATGGGGGTTATTGGGCCACAAAAAGAATGCACTCTGTGGTGGTGGGTGGGACGCGGGGCTCCGCACGTCGGACTGAGTGCCAGGGTGGGAGGCGAGCAGCTACCTGTTCCTTTTTCCGCAGCCGTCAAGGTGCGAAGACGGTCGAACGCCTCCTGGGCTTCCGTGCATACTTTAGTGCGGCACTAATGCAGCGCGCTGATGTTTCCCAGCCGGATTATCTTGCGCTGTGCCCGGCTGAAAACCAACCCCCTCTCCCCCCCAATCTGTCCCGATCGGCCGATGGCGGCCGATGGGGCGCGCGGCGCTTTTTAAAGTTCTCCTCCATCCAGTCTGGCGTTGTGAGTGCCATCATGGGGAAAGAGCCCGCCGACTTGGTTTTGTTTGCCTTGCCCGTTTTCTGTATCGGGAAACTCTCTTCTTGTTTAATTCGGTTTCGTCCGGCTTTCTTTCGGTGGCGGCGGGGCGTGGCGGGGCGTGGCGGGGCGTGGCGTGGCGTGGCGTGGCGTGTCCCTGCCGTGGAGAGGCCGGTGTGGTGTGCGCGGTGGCTGCCCTGCCTGCAGGGGTTGCCAAGGGCCGGCTTATCTGATCGCTGCGTGCCGCACCCACTTTTACTTCAGCGTGGCCGTCCCTTGCCGCGCGGCGGGGCTCTTAGCTCGGTCCGCGGCCAGGTGCGGCCAGTGGGCAGACGGGGAGAGACGGAGAGAGGGGGAGAGAGACGAGTGCCCTCGGGTGGCGGAAAGAGTGGGCACTAACCAAATTAATCTGCTCCGTAGTTGACCAGGACTCGGCGGACTCGGCACTGCTAAGCTCCGTCCGGCTGCGCGCCGCTGTGCCGCCGGTAGCCCCCCCCCCCCCCAGCTCCGGCTGCGAGGCACCCGCGGTATTCACCTGGGTCTTTTCCTTTGTATCCGCCCCTGCTGCGCCGCCCCCGCCACCCCCGCCCCCTCCGCGACGCGTCTACTTTTAACTCCGTGGTACGCCGGGCCACGCCACGCCACGCTACCCCGGGCCAGCAGGCCCCGCTTCGCGCCAATCCCTCTGCGCGACGCCCTCGGAAACAAAACCCGACTCGGGCCTAAACCCGGCTCCGAGCTCGCCACCTCGTGTGCATACACAACTTTAGGAAAAAGAAAAAAAAAAGGTGCGTGAGCCGCGGAGGGGTTGGATTTGGCGCCAGTGCGTGTGCGCGTGTGTGTGTGCCTGGTGATAAGCCTCAATCGTGATGCCGTAGCGACCTGGCGTGAGTGCTGTTACGAAGCCAGGATTTCGGCTCACCCCATTTCCTTTCATTCTTTTTGCAGCCTGGCATGGACCGTGGTGGCATTTTCCTTTTGTTTCTAATGTATTTATTGGCGGGTCGCGGGGATTAGTGGGTCTGCTTCAGACCTGCTAATGCTGTGTTTTTGTTTGTGTTTGCTTCGAGTCGTTGCCATTTTTCAAAATGCAAGAGGGGCGCTGCAGCGCTGGCCACCACAGGGGGGGCTCGCTGCAAACTTTTAATTGAGAATGTATCGCAGTAAGGCGGTTAAGGCGCAGTCGCGGCGCCGCGTCGTCTGCTTATCTGACTCGTTTTTCCGTTGTCGCCGAGGCCGGCGGGGGCGGCGGGGAACGCCCGGCATCCAGGCAACCCGTCGCGCAGCTGCGTGTTGCGGGACGCAAATTCTTTTTGCCACGTTCTTGTTTCCTCTTTCGCTCATGTTTTGGAAGGGCTTCGTTTACCTGGCAGGGCTGCTGTCGTCGCGGCCCCGGGCTCTGGGCCGGGCTGCCTGGGCTGGCCCCTCCGGGACCCTCGTTCGTTCCTTGTGACACATGGGTTCAGCTCGTCAAGCGAATGTTTTCTCTGTTCGCGCTGCTCCGCGCTTCGCGCCCGGCCGTGCCGTGCTGTGCCCCTTCGTCTTGTCGCTGCGCCAGCAGCCAGCACCCGCGAGAGCAAACTTGGGGCAACGCTTTTGTACGCTGCAAGGCGCCCCGCCAGCCCAGGGCAGCAGGGACCAAGGCAGGAGACGAAGGAACCAAGTGCCGAAAGATCGAACGGATGGACAAGCAGCCGGCCTGGCCACCCGTCTGCGACCAAACGCACGCTTGCTTAGTCTGCGACCCGTTTTTTCAACTTTATGTTCCTCAAAGTGCAGCTCGAGTTTTACGTATGACGGCTTGCTGAGACTTAACGGCGCTGATGATGATGATGATGATGATGATGATGATGATGATGATGATGATGATACCAATGAATTGCTTGCCCTTGGAACGTGGAATCTACTACAGCTCCATTCTAGTGGTAATTTGAAGGAAGTTGCACAAGGTTTGACACGGTCCCATTGTTGTTGCAGGTGGAGCGGCATGGCGCCCCCGAGAGGACGGCGAGGGCGGAGCGCCGCGTGACACGAGTGTGCGTGCGGCGTGCGTGCGCGGTCCATGTTGACATGGCCCCGCTCTGGCGGCTGGCCTGGCTGCTGCTGCTGGCGCATCCACTGCACTGTAGCAGCGTCCACCGCAACCGCCCCGAGAACGACGACCTGATGATGCTGGACCTCGACAAGCCAAGTAAGTCGTACACGACAACCGTTTCAGCGCCGCTTAGCGTCCGTGTCTGTGCGTCCGCGGCGGCAGGGTCGCCGCACTTGGAGTGGCGCTCCAGAGAGTTGCCGGCCGGGCATACCACCTCGGTGCTGTCCCGGTGGCGGGCCGGGGGCCGTTGCCTCCACTAAACTCGCTATCCTGCATAAGGGGATCTCAGACAAAGCTATTCGCTGCCGACTATCCTTTTAGCCGGCCCCGTCGGGGTGGACCCGACACCCAGCAGACGGCCCGCAAACGCGTCCATGACGTCCGGGCGCCTCCCTGCGGGACCGGCGAGGTGCCACTCACCTGCAGCGCGGACCCTCCGAGGCTGCGGCCAAGGCTGCGGCCGGGGACCGTCCCGCCGGAATTAAATCGAAATTGCGTGTAAGTGTGCGATAGTGCGTGGGGCCGCCCAGGGGCCGCCCTTCGCGCTTGAAGGCCGACCCGCCGGGACGCCCTGGACCCTCCTCATGTGCGTCGGGGGCAGCGCCGCGGCAAGGCGTCTGTCTGTGTGTGTGTGTCTGTGTGTGTGTGTGTGTGTGCCTCGTTCAGCCCTATGTACATTCCCTGACAAAGCCAACAGGGTGGCATTCCACCACGCCCTCGCATGCACTCGAGATCCAAGTGTGGGGCCACCCACACCCAATAGTGAGCATCAGCCGCAGGGGGTGTGTGGCGGCAGCCCTTTTTGAGTTCGCAGAGTGGAGCGAAACAAAGTCGCCCTGGCGCTGAGTCCCGCGGCCGTGACGTGATTGCCGAACTGCATTTGGACTCTCGCCGCCGCCAAGACGGGCGAGCGCGCCGAGCGCGCCGAGCGCCGCGTCCCCGGCCGCCTTTCGGCCCGCGGGACTTTACTTTAAACACGATTATAAACCCGGCGCTGGGGAATCTGCCCCGCTGGGTGAAGTATGCTGAACACGCCGCAGCTTTTGCCAAGCGACGCTAGTTGGCCCACTAGTGGAACGGCGACCTCTATCGGCGACCTCGCTAACTTTTACAATCAACGATGTTCCCCCACAGCGTCTCTCTGGCTCGGCGCGGCCGGGGCGGGGGAAGGGGCGGGGGAAGGGGCGGGGGCTCTTGGCGCGCGGGGCGAGGCGGAGGTGGAGCAACAGAGGATGCATATCGATGAGTCTCACTTTGCTGTTTGTCGAGACGACTCTGTGCATAGGGAAAGTTTCGCCTAAATGGATCTATTCTCCAAATGAACTGCCCACTAAATGCGCGACGAATCCGCGCGAAGCGTCCCCCGGCTCTGCGAAGAAAAGTTTGATTCGATCCGCAGCGGTGCATTATTTATTCCAATCAAGTCGTCCGTTCGAAAACAGCGTTCAAGTAACCAAACCTTAAAATTTTTATTTTTGTGAGCGCGTGGAGTCTGAGTCCCCGACGCTGACCAATCCAGGGAGGACCGCGGCCGGCGAGTTGGGGTGGCCTAAAATCGACGACCCAGCCGGCCGAGTGTGAGAGTGTGTGAGTGCGTGAGTGTTTTACGGGTGCCTGCACCCTTCGGGGCCTGCCGGGCCTCTGCGGCCGGGAGACGTGGCCGCGGGGACAGCGCACGCAACAGAGTTAGTTTTACGACCCCTTGCCTCGACTAGATTGGAGTTTAACCTGTACGCACCGAACTGAGTTTAGCGGTGGCAGGGGAGCGGGGCGGCCCGGCCTGGCGGGGCCTGGCGGGGCCTGGCGGGGCCAGGTAGGGCCCCCGCGGGCCCTTCGGCCACAGAACCGCAAATGGTATCGATTCGCATTACGCCAAGACAGTGGCGCTGCGGCCGCGGCGCGGACTCCAACTTCTTTACGCCGTTTCCGTCCTAATGTGACAGGGCTCCGCCCCTGCCCCTCGCGCTGCCTGGTCTGGGCCTAGCTCGGCCCCCGACGGTCCTCGGCGGCGGTCCCCGATGGCGCGCCGGCGCTCTGCCCAATTTTTTTACGAGCCCGGCCTCGGCCCGGTCCGAACGTATCGGGGATTAGGCACTCTCCGTTTGGCGGTATCAGCTGCGGGAAGATTATAAAGTGAGCTTATGTCGCTGTCGATTTTATTTATTTGCTTTGGGCTGTCCATTTGCACGCGGACGACGGTCTCGGCGCGCCTCGTTATGTGTTTTCGGGGGACGGAAAGGATCGCGTGTACAGATTCGCTCCACAGAAAAATTAAATTGAGTAATTTTTTCTTTTCTCTACAGTAAATTTGATTAATTAAAAAAGTACTAAATTTAATATTGACCCTGAACAGATTTAGAGTCTCTTGTGATAACATGCTAGCATCATCATTGGTTGTTCAGATAGCTGCTGTGTACCCTGAGCTGCCGTTTTCGAAAACAGTGAACTGAAATCGGTCAATCATGAGAACGCCTCTGGGGGAGAAATGGACGCATACCGCTAGGCTGCCCACCTTTCTAGCTTCGATGAAGAGTCTGGGCTGGGACCTAGCTTGACGGCCTGCCTCGCCACTCGGCGACTCGCCATGGTGCGGGCCTCCTCCTTGTTCTCGGCGTGGCGGGGCGGGGCGGGGCGGGGCGCCGACGTGGCGGTGCATCACCAGTATCGTCATATTCCTCGGAGAGTTATGAAGACCGTCTTAGGCTGAGCCGGCCGGGTGGGACCTGTGGAACCCTATCCCGTGTGCGTGAATGCGAGTGAGTGTGTGTGCGTGTGTGTGCGAGTGTTGCGACGCTGCTGCAGTCACTGCTTCCCAGAGGACGGCGTGTGGCGGCCTGGCCTGGCGGCCCGGCGGCGCGTCGCTGGAAAGTTGAGATTCGTGTAGCGTCCCTCCCTCTGGTGCCCCGGCGCGGCGCGGCGCGGCCAGACCTGTCATCTCTGGTGTTTGAGGATATTAGTAGACTTCGCGACGCGTTTTGCGGCGGCCCGTTCCTTTCCCCGCGCGCGGGCTTGTGACACCTGCGCCGTCAGACCGCGTCCTCCGGGTCCCTGTCGGTCACGTTCGAGGCTTTCGAAAGTCGCCGTGCCTCCTTCGGCGACCATTGTTCAAAGTGTAACCTACATTTCGGAAGAGGCGGCGCTGCTTAAATCAAAGGTGGGTCTGCGTTAGCGCGTCGTGCCGCTCGCTCGGCCGTCAAGTCGGCGCGGGACTGTCTGTCTCTCTCGCTCTCCCTTCCCCCCGGTCCGTACAAAACCAATTACCAGTCGGGTAATCCCGCGAGTCTCCCAGACGGCAAACGAAGCCCTATAAGCGCGGCGGAGCGGCGGAGCGCCCCTAACACCCGTTCACGCCCCGCGCCGCCGGCTCAGCCGCCCTGTGCTCGCCCTCAGCGTGCGTGTGTGTGTGCGTGTGTGTGTGTGTGTGTGTGCGTGTGTGTGTGTGTGTGTGCGTGTGTGAGAGCGCGCATCACCCTCGGGCTCTCCTCGTCGTAAAGGACGAGGCGTATCGGAAATGGATGTCGAGCCTCCCCGCCGAAATTGCACTTGCGCCGGTAATCGGCTGCGCTCCCTGGCTGCGTTTGCTGTGGCGGTGCAGCACAGCACACTGCCTCGCTGCCTCGCCTCGGACGGCCGCGCTTTAATATTTGCAATAAAGACAGCGGGGTTCCGGGTTTCGGTCGGAGGAAACGCACTGCGATTTACCGCCAGCTTTGCCCAGCGGTACATGCATCTCCATTACGCCACCGCGCTGCGTCCGCGCGCGTCCGAAACGAGCCACCGCGACGCGCTGTCCGGAGGAGGGGGCAGCAACACAGGGACGCACACTGGACCCGCCTGGGGCTCTGCAGCCCCCAAGCAGCACTCGAATCGAACGCACGAGCGCACCTGCGGATCGCTCTCGGAACGAGGAATCCATAGGTACCGTCATGTGTTCGATTCGGGTCCTGGCCAGGGGCCGTAACGCGTCCACGGTGACGTCTGCGTTTTCCGGTGGTTGGGTTGGCCCACTGTAGGGCAGTTTTCCGCCTGGTCCTGGACGAACGCGGCTGTGGCAGCGCTGGAGTGGCAGGGGCAGTCGGCTGTGCGAGCGAGGCGGACTCCGGTTGTTCCTTCAGTCAGGTGATCCCTAATTCACGACGCGGATGCCCACCCACGGTGCTTGCAGTGGCGCGGAACACCCGCCCCGGAATTAGCGGGCCAGCTGGGGTGCTGCTGCACTGGGAAAGACAGGAGGCTTCCCTCGCCGCGTTTCCTTGGCTGGTGTGACCCGCTTTGGCGGCGTTGGCTTGGTACGTTTTCCCTCGCGGACGCGAGCGCACCGCGTGCGATTGCGTCCACTGTGACACGTTAGCGTGCGCCGCCAAGCCCGCCAGGCCCACCAGGCCGCCACCAACATCGCGAGGCACGAAGAAAAGAGACGGAGTACTTTTAGCCCGCGCAACCACCGCACCGCACCGCGGCAGAGGTACCAGTGCTGCGGTCGACGGCGGGTGCAGACTGGTGTGTGTGCTTCGTTTCGTCGTTTTTCAGGTCAGAGGGAGTGAGGGAAAGTTAATTGTGTTCTAGCATAAAGCAGCCCGCATGCGGGGCGGCCCGGGGGCGGCGCAGGGGCGGCGCGGGGGCGGCCCCCTCCTTATTTGCACCCTTCCATTCCCTTCTATTCACAGCCTTAATTGCAATGTTCTGGCGCGGGGACGGCGGCGGGGACCTCCAAACACGCGGCCGGATGCTTTCGGCGCACTTTTTTAAATTGAAACATGGCCGACATAAATTTCTTGGTCGTCCGAAAAAAAAAAAATAGAAACGGGGCGTGTGGTTAGAGGTAATGAGTTATTTTTGCCTTACGCGCGGTAAAATAAGAATGGTGGCTGCAAGTTCGTAAAATATATTTGTTTTTTTTTTCTTTTTTTGAAACTGCTTTTGGGCGTGCATTCATGGCTGCGTGGCACTGCGTGGCACTGCGTGGCTGCTTGCGTCATCGGCACGACGCTTAGTGCCCGGGGCGGCCCGGGGCAGCCGGACGGCAACAGTTAGCAGACTCTCCTCAAGGGGCGGGGCTGCAGGCCGCTCCAGGCTGCTGCAGGCACGGCGAATCC